GAATCTAACCACAATTCCTTCTGCTTGGTTTCTGTGACTGTCGCACAGGTCCTGACCCACCCTGTGGATAGCCCTTCATGGAGACCGGGTCACTCACCCACCCATCCCCACGCTAGTGTATGGGGAAACTGAGGCCGGGAGCCTCAGTTATTGAACACCACAGCGAGGGAGTGGACGGAACAGGCTGCCTCAGCCAAGGTCTGCTGTCGCCTGTGTGTAAAGCACAGTTTTTAGACCTTGTAGCCAGGGAGACACTGGGTCAGACAGGCGACTGCCTTGCTGCACGCAGACCCAGGTTCCAGTCCAGGCCGGCTGTGGTGGGGCCAGCAGCGACACCAGCTGGGGAGGCGGGGTCAGGTGGACCTGATAGCCAATCAGCCAGCTCCAGGCCAGAAAGGCTCCACCTTACAGGTAAAGAGCAGATCGACCCACGCAGGCAGACTCAAGCTCCATGGTGTGTGTGTGTGTGTGTGTGTGTGTGTGTGTGCGTGCGGTGTGTATGTGGTGTGTGTGTATGTGTGTGGTGTGTGTGATTGTGTGTGCATGTGTGTGTATGTGTGTGCATGTGTGTGTGGTGTGTGTGTATGTGTGTGCATGTGTGTGTGGTGTGTGTGTATGTGTGTGCATGTATGTGTGTGGTGTGTGTATGTGTGTGCATGTGTATGTGTGTGCATGTGTGTGTGGTGTGTGTATGTGTGTGCATTGTGGGGGGGTGTGTATGTGTGTGCATGTGTGTGTGGTGTGTGTATGTGTGTGCATGTGTGTGTGTGTGAATGTGTGTGTGGGGGTGTGTGCATGTGTGTGTGTATGGTGTGTGTATGTGTATGTGTGTGGTGTGTGTGTGCATGGTGTGTGTGTATGTGTGTGTGTGTGTGTATGCATGCTTGTGCATGCAAAATGCTGACTGCTTTGGGGTTGAGTCCTCTCCCTCTGCCTGGGTTCACCATGAAGTTCTAGTTTATATTTTACAGTGACCCCAGGGCCTTTGCCCACCTACCCACACTCCAGCCTATTCTGGTTTTATTTATGTTTATCTTAATTTTTAGTTTTTCAAGACAGGGTTTCTCTGTGTAGCCTTGGCTGTCCTGAAACTCACTCTGTAGACCAGGCTGGCCTTGGACTCACAGAGATCCCCCTGCCTATTTCTTTTGACGCTGAGGCTGGGTTTCTTCCACTGTCTCCAGACCCTGCAGACTGGATTGTGGGTGCCCTGGTCTCTGAACTCAGGCTTCATCCCCACCCCTCACTCTGTGTGACTTCGACAGCTCAGTCCCTTGGCTTCTTCTAGAATCCCAGTCCCCACCTCTGGCCCGTTCGCGATCTGAAGACGCCCCACTTCCCTCTGCAGGGCCACCCCAACCCAGCTGTGCCATCAGAACGCACGGGACTGTCCTGCTCCGCCTCCATCCTCCCGCCTGCCTCAAGGCCACAGCCCTGTCCCTCCTCTGTCTCAAGAATGGGGGAGGTCTGGTTACTTTCCTGACTTCAGACGAATTCCATCAGCGCGCATCTTGGCTCAGATGCTCCCCTCAAGAGTCCCTGGTTCCCCTCTCAGCCCCTGCCTTCCTTTACCCTGATTGTTTCCATCCATTACACGCTGTTACTTCAATTCTCCATCCCACTGGAGTTCTAGCCCAGAGAACTGGGGCCTCTGGTGGGGACGGCCCGGCACACAGTAGGTGCTCAATAAATGCTGACTGAGCACAGGACGAGCAGCGCTGTGGATGGCGCCCAGGGATGTGCACTGCAGATCCTACTAGAAAGTAGCTAGGAGGGGTCACCACCGGACATGAGGCCTCCCACCTCAAGGCCCAGCTGTCCTCAGGATGTGTAGAAGTCAACACGCCCACAAGTCCTGGCCACAGACCACATCCCCACCGAGAAACCTGTGACCCAGAGAGGGTGAGACACGGTGCAAGGTCACACAGCAGTGTGTGACGCAGACCCGCATGGCGGAGGCCACACCAAGGGGACAGTTAACCAAGGGCTCTTGGGCATCTGGACAGAGCAGGCCATGCGGTTGCCGTCTCTTGTGGCCAAGTCCACCCTGCATCCCCGACTGCCCTCCCTAGAAGCTTCCAGAAGCGACATCCACCCGACAGGAGGACAATCTTCAAGGGGACATTCGGCCCTGGGTACTCGGGGACCCCACGAAATCCCAGGAAGAGGCCTGGTGGCCTGGGCCACCTTCCCCACTCTGCCTCGGTGTCCCTGCTCTGAGCGCGCAGAGGGGTCCCCGGCCCCCGGACTCACCATCCACCACATCTTCGCAGTCATGTCGTAACACAGCTGCCATTTGACCGACGTCTCCCCTGGCTTCCCGGACACTGGGGGCCCCGGCACCTCCATGCTGGGTCGCGATGTCCCCGGGTCCCCAAGGCCGAGGTCCCTGCGCTCGGCTCCCACGGAGCCCAGGAGTCGGAGACAGACAGGGAAGAGGGGGACACGGCCAGGGAGGGCGAGCTGGAGGGCGGGGACAGAGGCCACCCACAGCCCGGGAGGCGGCTGCCGTCACAGCAGCCCCGGATTTGTGAATGAGCCCCCCCTTCCCCCTCCCGCCCCCCCGGAAGCACCGCAGCTGCCCCCGCCTGCCCTGGCTGAGCTGGGCCAGGTTGCCCCGGGGCCTTCCTGCCTCCAACACGCTGGGGACTTGGACGAGGACATCAATGGCTCCTCCACATCCAGAGACCTGGGTTAGGAGATGGCTGTGGGAGCTCAGCCCTGGGCCGGGAGACCGGGTCCAGGCTGTGTGACTTTGGATGAGTCACTTGGCCTCTCTGGGTGCCTGTGTTTAAATGGTGGAAGTAGGAACTAGCCCAGTGTGCGCTGGCACAGTCCTGTCCACTTGGGAGGTTGAGGCAGGAGGATTGCTGTGACTTTGAGGTTAACCTGGGCTACAAAGTGAAAGCTTGTCTCAAAAATAAAAATGTTCAGTTCCCCCAAAAAGTCTTATTTATCGTCACTGTGCTGCTGCTAAAGGGATTGGGTGGCTCACGGCTCTGTAGAAGCGGCCGGAAGGACGCCTCAGGGGAAAAGCTGCCCGTTGGCCGGGAAGTGGCCCTGGAGAGGTCGGCTCTGCTTCTCCCTGAGCGGGAGATGAGGGACTACAGACCTGTTGGGCGACAGGGCTCACCCTTCCTCCCGATTCTCCTTTCTTCTATTCACCACCCGAGGGCTCCTATGCAGCCTTTAAAACCCCGACCTTGCTGCTACTCCCCTATCCTAGAAAGAGACTAGCACCTGAGGGGTCTCTTGTCCCAACAGGTTGAGGAGGCCCAGAGAGGTTCAGTCAGGAGCCCAGGGCTGCCCAGCGTCTCTTTGAGTTTTCCCTCTTTGTCTCCATTTTACAGACAAGGAAACTGAGTCTCAGAGTAACCCTCATGGGCAGCCAGAATGTCACCAGTCACAGCGTGAGCACTCTGCCCCTGGCTTGCTGACTGACTGAGTCATGGCAGTGGTTTGCTAACAGCGGACAATCCACAGGTGAGCACACAGGTCTCCACGTCACAGATGTCGGGCTGGCAACCTAAAGCAAGGGGCCGGGTGCCCCCAACCCTCCCTGCATCCTCCCAGACGCTTCGCCTCTCCCAAGCCACACCCACCCTGCCAGCAGCCACACCCCCGAAACTTGCACCCCCACAGACTGACCCACAGCCTCACCCTCCCTGCAGCCCCAATTCCCCTGCAGCTGGAACACCTGCCCCAGCCTCAGTAACACCCAGAAGCTGCAATCAGCCAGCCCCACCCCAACTGCAGTGCAGTCCCTCCTCCCCTCCTCTCCCCTCCTCTCCCCTCCTCTCCCCTCCTCTCCCCTCCTCCTCTCCCCTCCCCTCCCCTCCTCTCCCCTCCTCTCCCCTCCCCTCCTCCCCTCCTCTCCCCTCCTCTCCCCTCCTCCTCTCCCCTCCCCTCCTCCTCTCCCCTCCTCTCCCCTCCTCTCCCCTCCTCCTCTCCTCTCCCCTCCCCTCCCCTCCCCTCCTCCCCTCTTCTCCCCTCCTCTCCCCTCCTCCTCTCCCCTCCTCCTCTCCCCTCCTCTCCCCTCCCCTTCTCCCCTCCCTCCTCTCCCTCCCCTCCTCCCCTCCCCTCCCCTCCTCCCCTCCTCTCCCCTCCTCCTCTCCCCTCCTCCTCTCCCCTCCTCCTCTCCCCTCCTCTTCCCCTCTCCTCTCCCCTCCTCTCCCCCCACCCCCCCACTGTAATATGCCTTGGTATCTTGTGGTCATCCCTCTCTAAGTCATCCCAGATTTGGAGGGCAGGAGACAGGGAACAGTCACAGTCCAAGCCTACCAGCCTTCATATACTCGGTGCCTCAGTTTCCCCAGATGCAGAAGGAGGGGGGAAGGTCAGGGTGATCCCTGAACCCTGCCTTGGCTGACCAAACTGAGGCAGCAGAATGTGGTTCAGGGACTGATGGAGGAGCCGGTGGGCGTGGCTCTGGCAAAGCATGAGGTCCACAGTTCAAATCCCCAGAGTCCACACCAAAACCCAGGGGTAGCATGGGAGGTGGACATCAGAGACCTCGGCTTTCAGGCCAGCCTGGGCTAACTGATGAGCTGCAAGCTCAGGGAGACCCTGTATCAAAAACCAAGAGCGGGGCAACTGGGGAAAACGCTGACCTCTGACCTCCACACAACCCTGATGGTGTCACAGCAGTTTTGTAGCCAGGAGGTGTCACAGTCCTGAGAACTCAGGGCCACGACCACAGTGACCTCACTCGTTATGTGCAGATTGTCACCTGCATTTTGTGGATGGGGTTTCTCTGTGTAGCCCTGGCTGTCCTGGAACTCACTCTGTAGACCAGGCTGACCTTGAACTCACAGAGATCCCCCTGCCCCTGCCTCCCGAGTCTGTGTCTCCCTCCTGTGTGTCAGGCTCACTGCCACCATGACCAGCTCAGCAAAAAATAAATGCTGTAGTCCCACACTGAAATATTACTCAACCTCAAACAAGGAGCACGGCTCCACCATGTGCCAGGCATGGGAAAACACGGGGAGAGAGAGTCACTGTTAACAAGTAAAACTTTTATTAAATAAACTTTTAGGTTTTTTTTCTTCTTTTTCCAGACCAGAGAGAGGTGATTTGCCATTGAGATGCCCGCTCCTCCGCACACGAACAGGAGGTAGGGGACGGACGCCCACACTCCCTCTCCAACCCCCAGTCCCCATCCTCTCTCTGCTTGTCTCTAAAATTCAGTTTGAAGTTGAAATTTCACGAAATTCGTCGTAGCAGAAATAAAGCCCGTCGTACAAATCACATAGGGTCTCTCGTGTGGAGTATAAAAACGGTATTTACAGCTCGTAAACATGAACTAGACGTTGCGCACACCAGCGGGCGACCCTGGGGCCACACGCTCGCGCGTGGACGGAACATAGTCTCACTGTAGGAACGTAAACGGGGGACGCGAAGCAAGGTGGGCGGAATTGGGGTGGGGTTTTATTTTTTTTATTTACTCCCCACTTTTGTTTTGGATCAGAAATGAAAAGGGATTTTTAAAAATCTTTGTTTTTTGCATTTTTTAAACCTTAAAAAATTTTTTTGTCTCTTTTGTTTGCTTTTGGACACATCGGAGGGGATCTGGACCCCCCCCCCCCAACTATGTGCTTTGCGGTGGGCGCCGGCAGGGGTAATATACAGGGGCGGCTCCCACCAAAGTGCTCCCAAGCCCCACTAGGAAACAGAAGCGGGTTTTCAGTGAGTCCATCCACCCCCGCCCTGCCTTGTGGTCTTGAAAAAGACCACAAATAAAAAGGAAAGAAAAGAAATCAGTGCGGAGTCCGCGGTGTCAGCAACCGTGTCTGGCAGTCTGTGGCCACGTCCATCCGGGTGACCTCAAGGCTGGTGATTGGAGGATGGGGGAGGGGGACACCTGGCAGGCAGTGGGGGAGACACGGGGGACAGTGGGGGGCACCTGGGGCAACAGGGGGCAGGAGGCTTCCCCAGCGGGAAGCTAAGGACACCTGGTCACCCAAGTAAGGCTGTGAAAGGGGGAGGGGCGTGCGGCAGGCAGGGGAGGGGGCCGGACGTGGCGGGTGGTGTCAGCAGCCGTGGGGACCCCAGGAACTGGAGGTATAGGTGTTGGCGGGGTCCTGGTTTGGCGTCCGTGGGGGGCAGCCTCCAGCCGGCCTCGTCTCTCCTTGGTCCCTGGGAGTGGCCGGCTCAGAGACACCGTTTGGCCCCTGTGGTTCATACTCCAAAAATACATAGTCTATGGTGCACACTCTCGTGAGCTGCTACAGGGAACAGGGAGGGGGTTCTGCCTAAGGGGTACTGGCTGGCCTGGAAAGCCTCCGAGTTGGACGGGGGATGTCTCCAAGTCGAGGGGAGGATGGTGATTGGCAGTGTGTGGACCCCTCAGACTCGGGCTCAGATTCCTGTCCCTTTCACGCCACGCCACGGAGCATTTTGCGCTCCATGTGGCTCTCGGTGGCTTTGGAATTGGGGAGCCTACATGGGGGGACAGATGGGGAGGGGGGTCACTGGGAGGGCTGGTATCCAAACTTGGCTGTAATTTACATAAAAGTCCTGGGGTGGTTGGAAGTGGGGGAAACTCTCAACCTGGGGAGGATGGCGGGAGGGCATTAGGGAGCATTGGAGGGGGGAGTGGGGCATTCACTTCTGTCCTGGCAAGACAACCCCCGTTTCTGACGTCACCATCAGTTTGGGGACATTCACATTCTGGCTCCTCCCCAGTCCAGTGCAGAGTATCCACAGGACACTGGGTTAAAAGGGAAGGCCTGGCAGATCTCTGGGGGTTTGTTCACCATTGGCAGGTTTCCTAATTGAAACCAAAATAAATAAAACCCCAAAACTCAGAAAACGCTGAAGACTAAAGACAGCTGACCTCTACCAGACCCTGGGTGAGACGATTAAAAAGGAGAAGAAAGAGAAGAAATGAATCCAAGTGTTCCTGGGCACTCTGTAGGTGGCTGCTGCTGCTGGGTGGCCGGGCTGTCACCTCCCAAGAGGCAGTGTGCAGTTGACCCCACCTTTTAAAATCAGTTCAGTCCCAAAGAGAGTACTGAGAATGTGGTTTGGTGGGAATCTGACGTTTAGGTTTTTGTTTTGTTTTGAGGATATCTGGCTTTTTGTTAGTTTTGCGAGATTGTGAGTGTCGTAAGCTCTGGGATTGTTAACCCACTGGGCATGAAATTAGAAGACCGTGCTTTCCAGGTCCAGGGAGCCGGCGGGGACAGAGGTGGAGGACGGGGGGGCTGTGCTGGGGTCCCCATCACCTCTGCTTCAGTTCTGGGCCAAGCTTAACCGGGCATTCCAAGTTCCAACTGTAGGCAGCCAGACTGGGGTGTGTGCCAAACATCTTTTCTCTGATTTTAGGGTCTCTCAGCTGGGAGGAGGGGAGCTCTTCCCAGGACTGGATAGAAGCCCCACCCATCAAACCCCAGACCCACAAACCCACCTCTGGAGTGACCTTCTATTCATTCTTCAAAATTTTCCCAGGAAGCCCCCTTGGTGGGAGCTCCAGATTTCTCTCCACCCCCCAGCCGAATCCCACCTCTGTGTCCCCGCCACAGGTGACGGGGAGAGGGTCTATCACCAGTTGGCGTCTTGGAGCCTCACTCCCGCCCCCAGGATTCGGAGAGAGAGACGGGATGGGAGGAGGGTTGGATGGTACCAGGGCTGGGCAGGGAACAGGGCCGCCTGGCGGCTCACCTGGGGCCAGACCCACCGCGGAGGAGCCGTGGGCGTGGTCAGTACGGGTGTCCGGGGTCTTTGGGTCTCTTCAGCTGCACCTTCAGCCTCTTCATACCGATCTGAAAGCCGTTCATGGCCTGGATGGCTGCTTGCGCGCTGGCCGGGTGGTCAAAGCTCACGAATCCTGAGAAGACAAAGCGATCAGAGCCGGCGAAGGGCGGCGGCCCCGGCTTCCGGTAGACGTCTATGTCCAGACCGGACCAGGCCTGGAGGCTGTCTCTAGGGATGGGGCTCATTCCCGTTCCACCCAGGCCTCTCGACTTCCCAGTGATGCGAGGGTCGCAGCCTCGCTTTCTTCCTACAACACCGACGTGGTACTGAGGGTTATTCCAGAACCCTATGCAGGACAGGCAGGCACTCCTCCATGACCACGCCCCAGCCCCTCTCTGGGGCATTCTAGGCGGGGCTCCACCCTGACCACGCCCTCAGCCCCTCACTGGGTTATTCTAGGAGGGACTCCACCCTGACCACGCCCTCAGCCCCTCACTGGGTTATTCTAGGAGGGACTCCACCCTGACCACACCCTCAGCCCCTCACTGGGAAACTCTAGGCTGGTCCACTCACCGAAACACTTGCTCTGGTTGGTAGCCCGATCCATAAACACCTTGGAGGAGATGATATTGCCGAAGGGAAGGAACATCTGGGTCAGCTCCGTGTCTCCAAACTCCTGGGGGAGGTGGTAGATAAACAGGTTACAGCCTTCGGGACCTGTAGGTGGGGGAGAGAAAGACATAAAGCCCCCAAGGAGAGGAGGTGGACCCCCCCTGGGTTGGGGTCCAGTCCTTGTCTCTGGCTGTGGACACAGTGGGAGGCTTCTTGAGACCCCAGAGAGAATGGGGAGCAGAGGTGGCCCGGGGGAGCCACGTGCTGTTCACCCAGACAGTGCTAATCACAGACCACACCCAGAACCGTACAAGCCAGATGGACTTCCAAGCTCTACTGTAGCCTGCACCTCCAGGCCACATACCGGAGTCAGGTGAACAGGGTTATTGGGGGGGCTGGGTGTGGCTCAGCAGCAACTCTGTGCTGGTCTAAGATACCCCAACATTTTAAAGAAGCCTGGAGGCCAGGTCAGTGGTACACACCCGTCAGTCACCCCAACACTTGGGAGGCTGAGGCAGGGGGTTGTTGCATTTATGAGTCTAGTGTGAGACCTAGTCTCAAACACACACACACACACTCACGTGCACTCACGCACACATGCACAGGAACAGACACATGCACACATGCACAGACACACGCACACATGCACAAGGATAGACAGACACACGCACACAAGCAGATACACACACTCACGCACACATGCAGACACAACACACATGCACAGACACACACACTCACGCACACATGCACATGGACAGACAGACAGACAGACACAGATAGAGACAGACAGAGAATTCATTCAGGTGATGGGGCCAAGGCTGTAGCTGGGAGGCATAGAGGTTGTCTGTCTGTCTATCTAGTTAATTTAAGGTGTGTGTGCCGCAGTGCCCGTGTGGAAGTCAGAGGACAATTTGTCCTCCACACGTGGGCTCTGGGCTCAAACTCAGGTTAACGGATGTGGTGGCCAGTGCCTTTTTGCGGGAACCATCCTCCCCGCCTGGAGTTTAAGGAGGGCCTTCCCGGAGTGTCCTGGCTGTCAGCAGTCAGAGAAGAATGTTCTGCTGGTGGCTTTAGTCACAGTGTCTGGGAGACACGATGTGGCCCATGGTGGAACAGTCCGGGGACACTGGGGACTCCTCCAAGCCCAGGCCCTGCATGCTGGGGTGTGAGCCCCATCACAGGTGAGGATGGAAGCTTTCTCTCAGCCACATGTGCCACAGGGGAGACACCAGGGACTTCTTAACGCCTCCTGGCTTAGGGCCAGGATGCTAGAGCTGTAAATGGGGAAACTGAGGTACCGGTCACAGAGCCCGGCCAGAAGAGGACGTGAGTAGCCCTGAGTCACTGGACGCAGACTCCTGCTTCCTCCCGCATGCCCTCCATAGGCCTGGCTTCACTGGGAAGGCCTCAGTTTACCCAAGACTCCTCCTCGCACCAAAAAGGGGGTTTCCTCGCGTGTCCATAGGGGGTGGGAGCTGCAAGGGCCGCCGTTCCGCGGAGGGGCGAGTTCGGCAGTGCAGGTGAGGGCGGGGCTGACAGGGGTCGCCTCACCTTCACGCTGCTGCTGCAGGAGGTGAGGAGGCTGCGGGACGCCGTGCGCCACGGGCGCGATGGCCGCGGTAGGGTACATGGCTGCAGAGAGCAGAGGCAGAGGCCAGCGCTGAGGGAGGGGCAGGGCCGGGGAGGGGCGGGGCCGGCGGCCAGGGCCGAGGGAGGGCGGGGCCGGGGAGGGCGGGGCCGAGGGGCGACGCTTGGGCTTGAAGGTTCCGGCGCAGACGGGGGCAGGGATGCGGGAAAGGCAGGCTGGGGCCAGGACCTGGGGCAGGGCACAGAGAGGGTTGAGGGTGGGATGGGAAAGGGTGACTGGGACGAGCAGGGCGGAGCCAGAGCGGAGGTTGCATGAGGGGCGGGACTATGCGGGAGCAGGGGCTGAGGCCCAGGGCCGGGCGAGGGGCGTGGCCAAATAAAGGTAGGCAGGGCCGTAGCAGCAAAGACCTGAGGAATGAGGCCACAGCCGGAGGGACAGCTGCGCCGTGGGCCCTGCCCCTTGCTCCACGCTGCTGCTCTGCACTGTGCCCCTGACCGACATCCTGGTTCAGCTGCGACCCTGCACACTCACTCCCTGTGCCATGAGCCCGCCCCTCAGGCCCTATCCCCGCCCCTCAGGCCCTATCCCCACCCCTCAGGCCCAAGCCCCGCCCCTCAGGTGCTATCCCCGCCCCTCAGGCCCTAGCCCCGCCCCTCAGGCCTGTCCTCACCACCACTCTGGCTGTGCCTCCTCCCCAGGCCCAGGTCCCGCCTCTCTGGCCCCACCCCACCCTCAGCTCCAGGGAGCAGGCCCAGTGGTGGGTGAGGCCACACAGCGAAGCAAGCCACCGCCCACAGAGGTCGGCCTGAGCGTGGGGGGGGTGGGGGGGTTCTGAGTGGAGCTGGGTCACAGTGAAGAAAAAGCGCTATGAGGGGCGGGGCGGGGCCACAGCAGGAAAAGCAGCGTGGCCAGGGTGTGACAGTGGGGATCCCCAAGGGAGTGGGGTCTGGAGCTGAAGACAGACGGGCGTGGGTCACGATGGAGACCAGGGCCATGCAGGGATGAAACCTTGTCTAAAGACCTTAGTGGGCGGGGCTCTGCCCTTGGGGCGGGGCTAAGGGCGCACGGGCAAGGAATTGGGTGGGCACATGTCTCAAGAGGTCCTGAGGGACATGGATGACGCAGGGGACCGGGGGAGAGAGGGGCTGAGTGAAGGACAAGGGCCTCGGGTGCGCGTGCAGACGGCCAGACCCTGAGGTGAGCGGGCTCGGCGGGCACAGGCTGGACCAGGGCTGTGGAGCCGCAGGGTCAGGATGGCGCTGCCTCTACCTGTGTACTGCTGGACTCCGGAGAAGGCCGGGTGGAGGGTCTCTGCCACAGCGGGGCTCTGAGCTGTGGGGCGGAGGACGAGCTGAGCCCAGTTTCCCTTCTGTGCTAACCCCCTACTGGCCAACGGGCTCCGGAGAGCAGGTGACAGAAGCCGAAGGAACCCGTGTGCCCACCGCCCCTCACCTGCGTCATCTCCCAGCCCACCCCTGCCCAGCTGCCCCTAGTCTGCGGGGATCCAAGTGTCCTAGAGTCTGCCCGGTCCCCGTCGGGCCGTTAGCAGCAGGGCTGGCATCTCGGCCCCCATTCTTCAATGTCCAGAGTCTTAGCTGACACCAGATAAAGAACCACATCAGGCGCAGGGGCTCCCAGCCGTCACCTCCGCGCTTGGGAGGGGGAGGCCGGGGCTAAAGAGTGACTTTGAGACCCGCCTGGGTTACATAACGTGACCCCATCTCAACAGCGACCAGAGGGAGACACGTGCCTCGCGCTGGCCAAACGCCCCCTGCTTCCCACTCAGCCTTTGATGCCGCCTTCCTGTTTCCCAGTTCTGGAAACAGGCCGGGTTGCTGAACAGGAATTTGAACCCAGAACCAGCCCAGTGCTCGGTCCTCACGTATCCTCTCACTGCCTCTTCCTGTGCCCCTTGTTCTGCCCTGCCAAGCCCAGTGTGTCAAGCTGTGGGGATCTAAGTGTGTCCCCCGCTTGCCACGCCCACTCCAGGCACTGTCCTAGGCTCTAGGGCACTCTGTCTCCCAAGTTACCTGGGTAGGGGACGAGGCCATTGGCATACACAGTCTCCAGGGCAGGGTGGCTCCCGGGGAAGGGCAGGACGCCTGGGAAGGCGTTGGGAATGGGTGCCACCAGGCCAGGAACAGCAGCGGTGCCTAGCAGCGGGGGCGAGTGTAGCCCTGAGGAAGGGGAGAGGGCCAGACACGAAGTGAGGGGGACACAGGCATGGGGCGCTGCCCGCCTCTCCTGAGGCCTCCCAGAAGCTGCTCTCACCGGAGGCTGGGGTGATGGGTGTGGCGGGCAGGCCATTAAGGCTGACGGCGCCAATCTGCTGGATGTGGCAGGGAGGGAACGCTACGCCAGGGCTCAGGTAGCTGCCGGAGGTGGACAACACTGTTGTCTGTTGCTGCATGAGCTGGAGACAGAGACTGTGTGAGCGGGGCAGGCACACTAAGGCTCAGGGGCAGGGGTGGGAGAACATCCTGCCGGACGTCACAGTGCAGGTCGGGATCAGGATCAGTCGCAAACTCAGCGCCAGCTGGAGGCCAATGTTTGGCTGTGGATCAGGGTTCAGTAGGCACATGGTTTGGGGAAAGGGCTTGGTCTAGACTCGGGGCTCAGTGAGAAATGGAGATTCCTACTTAGATTCAAGTTCATTCTGGGGTCAGGCATTAGGCTCAGCTTCAGATCAGGGCTAAGTTGGAAACTGAGGCTCGGTGATGGTTCAGGGTTCAGTCTGGGACATGAGGTCTGGATCAGCAAAGGACCTAGGCATGGCCTTGACTCAGAACCAGGTTTAGAAACAGAACTTGGATATTTAGAGCCAGCTTAGGATTGGGTCTGCCCAGGAACAAGGCACAGTCAGAGATCACAGCTCAGCCTGGGATCAGGGATCAGTCAACGCTCAAGGCTGAGTCAGGAACTCAGGTGATGTCAGCCTTGAGGATTTAGACCAAAACCAGATTTAGGGATGGTGGAATCCAGGCTCCATCCAGCCATTTGGGCCAGGATGAGGTTAGGGAGTCAGTCAGGGTGGTGGCTGTGTTTAGAGCTGTCCATCAAGCCGGGCGGTGGTGGCGCACGCCTTTAATCCCAGCACTCGGGAGGCAGAGGCAGGCGGATCTCTGTGAGTTCGAGACCAGCCTGGTCTACAAAGTGAGTTCCAGGACAGCATCCAAAGCCACAGAGAAACCCTGTCTCGAAAAACCAAAAAAAAAAAAAAAAAATAGAGCTGTCCATCAAGATCTGGACTTTCAACCTGGGATGGGAGCTCAGTTTACCCTGCTGCACCTGAGGCCTAGCCCGGTTCAGGACAGGATCCTGGGTCAGAAGTTATGAGAGACGGGAATAGGGATAGGTGGGCAGTGGGGTTGAGTCCTGGACTCGGTGTCCACATGCTGGGGCCACTCACAGCCTGGGCGTAGGCACTGTAGGGGCTGAAGGGCAGGGTGAGGGATGGCGTCAGGATGCCCAGCTGGCCAACCATCTGCTGCATCCGCCGCAGAGTCCGTTCTCTGTCCGTGTCGGCGAACTTGACCACCAGGCTGGAGGAGGCTCCCTACAAGGACAGTGTGTGGTGTTGGGGTAGAAGGGAAGGACTCTGGGGGTCCCTGGGGGTGACAGTGGAGATGCCAGCCATGACCAAGTCCACATCCAAAAAAGCCAAACCACACAAGAAGCACACAAGGCTTGGTGATGTGGTGACATGGCCACCGGGTGTGCGAGGTAGCAACGGCCGCAGGGACGGGTAGAGTATGTAGGCCCAAGGTTCGTGTTTGGGACAGGTGTGGGGACCCTAGCCGTAGCTTGTCCTCAAAGCAGGGGGATCCGGGGGCCAGAGAAGGACAGTGTAAGAGTTTGTGGTAGGGCACCATACGGCCCACACCTGGGACCAGCTGAGGGTTCCCCGGCCAGGCAACATGATGGCCGACGGTGCCCCGATTGCTCACACTGTAGAACTAAGTCATGAACTGGGGCTCAGAATGTGAGGATCTGGGGTTCAGGATCAGTGTTTAGTCCAGGATCAGGGCTCAGCCAGGTCCTTTCTGGTGATTGGCCCCAGATGCTCGTAGGCAGGCTTGCAGACACCCCTTAGATAGACAACCTGCTCACTGGCTTCGGTGATGAGGGAGTCAGCTTGGGGGTGGCCTGAACCTGCCCAGCCATGTTAAGGAGACAGCTGCTGCTGCAAGGCCAGGGACTCAGTTTACCTGTAGTGACACAAATTCCTGGCAGCCCTCCTACAACCATACCTGAGTGGTTCTACCCCTGGAACCTTGAACCCCTGCTCCCCACTCCCCCTTGGCCTAATGGGTTGCCAGGACCCCCATTATCTCCAGACAGTCTCTTCAGACCAGTCTCTTCATCCTCCTGCCGGGGACCTGAGCTTGGCCGCCCAGCCAGGCTCTCAGACTCTTTTCCCTAGCCCAGTCATGACCCTGACCAAAGGACCTATGCGAATGGCCTCACAGGCCCCTCACTTGGTGCCCACCTAGGGTCCCCGCTGCCCAGATTAGAGCCTTGGCCTCTACATGTAGTCTAGCCACTGGTCCTGTTACTTCGCCTGTGCCACAATGCACTGGGACAGTGTGTGATAGCAGCCTTCCACCCTCCTTTCTGAAGCAGCCTAGGAAGGGACAGAGCAGACACCACCCACGGCTCCCAGCCGTCCTCATCTTTCCCCTGCCCTACTGTAGCAAGAGCAGTTCTCACTCACCGGCATGGTCTGGCTGCCATGCAAAGCATGGATGGCCGCCTGGGCCTCTGTGTGGGAAGAAAACTTCACGAAGGCACAGCCTGGGAGGGGAGGGAGGTGGAGGTGAGGGACTGACTGAAGGATGTGAAGGCAGAGAATAAAGGGAGACAGAGCCCTAGATTGACACTCATGAAAGAAATAGATGTATGTGAGCTCACACATGCATGGGAAGGGTCAAGACCACCTGAACAGACAGGACAACCACCATCTCCCAGGGACAGACACCTAGATGTCAGCAATGAACTCAGCCAAATAGTAAAAATGTCAGTCATCCACCTCCATCTATCCACCCACTAATCTTTTGGTCTGTCTGTCCATCCATCCATCCACTCACCCATCCATCCATCCACCCATCCACCCATCCATCCATCCAACCATCCACCCATCCACCCATCCATCCATCCACCCATCCATCCATCCACCCATCCATCCATCCACCCATCCATCCATCCACCCATCATCCACCCATCCACCCATCACCCATCCATCCATCCACTCATCCATCCACCCATCCATCCACCCATCACCCATCCATCCATCCATCCACCCATCATCCATCCATCCATCACCCATCCACCCATCCACCCATCCACCCACCCATCCATCCATCCATCCACCCATCCATCCACCCACCCATCCACCCATCCATCCATCCACCCATCCATCCATCCACCCATCCATCCATCCACCCATCATCCACCCATCCACCCATCACCCATCCATCCATCCACCCATCATCCACCCATCCACCCATCACCCATCCATCCATCCACTCATCCATCCACCCATCCATCCACCCATCACCCATCCATCCATCCATCCACCCATCATCCATCCATCCATCACCCATCCACCCATCCACCCATCCACCCACCCATCCATCCATCCATCCACCCATCCATCCACCCACCCATCCACCCATCCATCCATCCACCCATCCATCCATCCACCCATCCATCCATCCACCCATCCATCCATCCACCCATCACCCATCCATCCATCCACTCATCCATCCACCCATCCATCCATCCACCCATCACCCATCCACCCACCCATCCATCCATCCATCCACCCATCCATCCACCCATCCATCCACCCATCCATCCATCCACCCATCACCCATCCACCCATCCACCCACCCATCCACCCATCCATCCATCCACCCATCCATCCATCCACCCATCACCCATCCACCCATCCATCCACACACCCACCCATCACCCACCCATCCACCCATCCACCCATCCACCCACCCATCCACCCACCCATCCACCCATCCATCCATCCACCCATCCATCCATCCACCCATCCATCCACCCACCCATCCATCCACCCACCCATCCATCCACCCACCCATCCATCCACCCATCCACCCATCCACCCATCCATCCACCCATCCATCCACCTGTCCATGTGTGCATTCATCCATATGTCCACCCACCCATCTTCCACTCATCCATCTACCCGTCCATCTGTCTGTCTATTTGGTCATCCAGAAGGAAGTCAGCCAGCTGCCAGTGACTGTGTTGAGACCCCAGCAGTCACATGCACTTTCAGATGAAGGTTGGGCCCAGAAGTACCCTTTAGAACAACTGAGGCAAAGGTTTGAGGGGTCACCAGCCCTGACCTCCAGGGCGCAGGGATCTGTGGATTATGGCAACTGGTCAGACAGACAGACACACACAGCCATGTGGTGGCCACCAAGGCAGATGCACCCCCATCCAGGGTCATTCACCATGGATCCAGGGCGGGACCAGTCTGCCAGTCATACAGACGGACAGACACGAAGACAGACAGAACCTGAGACACTCAGGGAGAGAAGCTGAGAGGCCCAGGCCACAGTCTGGAGGCCCAATCTGCAGGAGCACAGTAGCCCCACCTGAATGGACTCTCAGGTGGGGCCAGGACTCACACTTCCCTCCCATAGACCTGACCCTGCCTCCTCAGCCGGCCCCTCCCCTCCCCCTCCAGACCCTCTCTTTTTTTTTTTTTTTCCGAGACAGGGTTTCTCTGTATTGTTTTGGAGGCTGTCCTGGAACTCGCTCTGTAGTCCAGGCTGGCCTCGAACTCACAGAGATCCGCCTGCCTCTGCCTCCCGAGGGCTGGGATTAAAGGCGTGCGCCACCAACGCCCGGCTCAGCCCCTCTCTTTTTGCAAGCAACAGTTAAAATAGAGAGACCGGTGGGCGTTACCAGGCTCCCATGCATCAGCAGGGTCCTGATGACAGCCTTGTCTCATCTCCCTCCTCCCCCGAGTCTACCCACTCTCCTCCCCCCACTTGAGGATACAAAAACCCTCAAGAATGAGCAGTCTGCGGTGCAATCTCATCCCTCCCCACAGCTCCCTGCCGTCACCCTGACAACCCACCCCACCCGCTCCACCCCTTCCCAAAGACCACGCCTACTCAAGCCTATCTCTCTCTCTCTCTCTCTCTCTCTCTCTCTCTCTCTCTCTCTCTCTCTCTCTCTCTCTCTCTCTCTCTCTCTCAGCCCCACCCACCACCCCTCTGCTCCCGTTCCAAGCTTAACCCCGCCTCCAGCCCCCCTCCAGACTCCACCTCAGCTCCGCCCTCGCCCCAGTCGCCACTCCCCAGGCCCCACCACCACACACCATAGATCCCGCCCCGCCTCGCCTCCATGGGCCATCCAAGCCCCGCCCACCCCGAGCCCCCCCTCCCCGCCCGGCCAGTCACCTTTGCTGCTGCCATCAGGTCCTCGCAGCACTGTGCACTCATCGATGACTCCAAAGGGCTGGAAGAGCCTGAGCACGTCTTCCTCGGACTGCTGCTTGTTGAGCATGCCCACGAACAGCTTCCGGTCCCCTGTGGGCGGAGCCCCGGCCCACGGCCCCGCTGAGCCCGAGCTAGCCCCGCGGACCCTTAGTCCTGACCCGCGCTGCCCCAGGACCTTTGCTTAAGCCGCCCCGCTGCCCCGGGATGAGGGAGAGAGGAAGGGAAGCAGAGACACTGGGGGGTGGTGTCGTGGAGGAAGAGACAGAGACTGGGGGACAGTCAGACTCGGGAGAGGGGGAGAGAACGCGAAAGGGGGGTCCCGATTGACAGCCAAGATGGAGAGTGACAGGGGCTGGCAAGGCTGGGCTTCATCGAGCTCCTACATATACATGGTGTCCCAATAGCCTTGCCCACACCTCTCCTCATGGGCACCCGTGAGGGAACCGGAAAGGTGTGGGGTGTCTGAAGCCTGGGGGAGCAGTTGGAGCCGGCCGGAGCACCCCACGGTCACAGGGAGGTTACTACTACCTCCACGGCTCTCACTGTCCGCTGGCTTCACCTGGATCGGCCGCGCCATCTGTGGAAAGGTTGGGGGGCACATTCAGGGTGGCAAGGGACCGGGTGGGGCGCATGCACCCTCCTTAAACTCTGCACAGGCACTGGCTGCTCACCTTTGCCTTGGCACACACTGAAGCAATCAACCCGGTGCCAAGGAGACTTGTCTGGCAAACTCTTAGCTAGCCAAAACCCAATGACAATTATCTCCCCAGCAAGACAGAATGTCTTTGGAAATGGTGAGATTTCTCCCAGCCCTGTGCAATTTTGCATTGTAATTTCTGTCTTCAAGAAGTCAGATTGTGCCGAGCGTTGGTGACGCATGCCTTTAATCTCAGCACTCGGGAGGCAGAGGCAGGCAGATCTCTGTGAGTTCGAGGCCAGCCTGGTCTACAAGAGCGAGTTCCAGGACAGCCTCCAAAACAATACAGAGAAAGCCTGTCTCAAAACAAAACAAAGCAACCTCCCCAAAACCAAGAAGTCAATTGTTTCTGAGCCCTGTGTCTGGACTTGGCTAAGTGACTTCCTCCAGCATAGAATATGTTGGAAAAGAAGACATAATTATGATCTTTGGTGTTAGAGAGCTTGTTGCTCTCTGGACAGAGTCCAAGTGTGCCAGCCTGGACTAGCCACTGATGGCACCCAGGAGGACTCATTCTAAATAACTTAAATTGCTGGGTGTTTGTTACCGGTCAGCAGCCGACTGATACCCCGTGTTGTGTAACACACCCCGGAAATGGCATTTGATGGTGCTGACCCCGTGCCCCACAGCCCCAGCAGACTGGGGGGGTGCATCTGGGATATTTGCTCATCCACTGAGACTCATATGGGTGAACTCCTACTAAGCTTTCAAAATTCAGTTCAAAAGTCCCAGCAGCAACCCCCCCCACCCCTCACGGCTCCTCCCTGCCTCCCAGACAGGGGGAGGGGAGCTCAGTGTCACCCCCAAGCTAGGTGTAAGGAAAGAGGGGACCAACAGGGTCCAGGAACCGGGAGTAAGGTCCCTGCCTGAGACAGATTAGGCTAGCCCCTTCACACGAAGCCCTGAGACCTCTGACCCAGGTGCACCACCTGACTGACAGCCCAGCGACCCCTGCCCCCCTATGCTGGCCTCTTCTCAACATCCTCCCCTGCACCCACCCTCTCCTCCAGCGATGCTCCACCCAGCTGTGAGTGCCCATGAGGAGAGGTGTGAGCCCTTACAGAGCATCCCCCCCTCCTCACCCCTCCCCACACCCTTCCATTCCCCCACAATCCTCTCCCCTCCCGTGCTTTCAACTTCCTCCGGCCCCTCCCCTTCCGGAATCATCCTCTGTTCCCCCCACTTTGGGAGCCCCTCCCCTCCTCTAAGACCCTCCCGGGGATCCTCATTACCCGCCCTGCTCTCCCCAGCCAGCCAGATCCCCCCACCCCCCACATCCCATCCCCTCTGCACCTGGGTACCACACCCCACCCCGGGGTGGGTGGGGGAGACGATCTGAACCTGATAGTTCCTCTCCTGGGGTCCGGGCGACCAGACGGGGTGTGGGGGACAAGGCAGGGGAGGGGTCCCCCAGATCTAGCCTCCCGGTCCCCTCACGGCCCCTCCCTCACGCCCCCGCCGGCCCTCCCCCTCCACCATCCTCCCTAGCACCTTGGGCAGATGAAGATGGGGTTGCCATGGCAACGCTGATTCACCCCGTGGAAGCCGGCAGTTGTCGCTGCCATGGAAACCGCCTCTTCGGCCCCTCCGAGTTCAGATCTCGCAGCGCACAAAAGAGATTTAAATATAATCTTTTAGAGACGAGGGAGGGGGAGGGGAGGGGAGAGGAGGGGAAGAAGAGGGGATGTGCCCGGCTCTGTTACCATCACCCCATCACCGACCTTGGTCTCCAGCGCGCCCTGGGTCCCCCTCCACCCCACAGTGACGGAGAAGGGACCACGGAGCGCCCTCCCCGCCCGCACCACGTGCTCCAATGCTGCGTGTGGGAGCTGGGTCTCCCCGCACTGCCGCCTCCCCCCATCTGTCCCGCCCAGGTGTCGCCGTCCCCTGTACCGTCTGCAGCTCCCATCTCCACTCCCCTTCCTCTCGACATCCCCAACACCATTTCCTGTTGGGTAAGATTTGGGGCCCTGCGGAGGACCCTCACTAGTGTCTTGGAATGGGACAACACCACCGGAAGTTGCCCACCACCACGGCGGGGAAAATCTTTGGCGGGTTTTGAGGCAGCAATAGGAGCGATGTGGGTGAGACCGTGTCTCTTTGGGGAGCCGGGTCTCCTTCCGGGACCCATTTCATCTCTGAGCTGGGTGTGTTACAGACAGGGAAACTGAGGTCTTTGGACAATCTCAGCCGGTCTAGCCGGGGCCATGCAGGTTTCTCACGCAGTTGGAAGATTCCAGAACCAGGCGTCCGTGGAAGCGGAGGAAGCAAGCTAAGGCACCACCCGGGCGGCCATGGCCCACGCTCCTCTCCCACCCGGACCCCACCATGGCTCCCTAGTGCCCTGGCTGCAGTTACAGTCTCTCATTGGAGACCTCAGCCAGAGACCCCTTGCAGGGAACCCTCCCCCCAGCAACCTTGCGCTGCCCCTCTTCAGGGCAGACTCCTTGCCCAGCGCTCCGGCTCCGGACTTACCCCCGACCCCATGCCCTTTGCCAGTCAGAATGATGCTCACATCCAGCACTGGCGCTAGAGTCTAGAACGTTCCAGATCACCAAGCACTTGCCATGCCACCAGCTCCAGGGTCTAGAATGTACTGGGTTCCCAGCATGCCACAGGCAGCTGGTCTCCAGCCCAGAACATTCCAGGTCCCTAATTTCCAGTGTGACTTCTGGTCTAGAGTTCCAGAATGTTCCGGATCTGCAGCACAAAGGCAGCTGGCTCCAAGTCTAGAATGTTTCAAGTCTTCTCTGTGTGTGGCTCACTGTAGCCACACTGACCTACACCACATGGTCCTGAGGGGTGCTGCCAGCCCTTGCCCTCAGGCTGCCTGATCTGGCCGCGCAGTTGTGTTTCTAGTAAAGTTTTATCATGTGTCTGCTGGTAGCATGCATGGGACTAAGCACAGCCTGCTGGAACCACATGGTGCAGCCGTGGGCACTGTGGATGTCAGTTTCCGGTCATTGTCATGTCTGCAAATGTGCAGTTAACGCTGACACCAGATCTGAGGAGGATTCTCCATTTACAACAATCCAGAACATAACTCTCCTGTGTCACCAGTCCACAGGCCACTGAGAAAACTTCTACCCTGAGCTGGGCAGTGGGACCCACACCTTTAATTCCAGGACTCCAGAGACAGAGGCAGGAGGATCTCTGTGAGTTTGAGGCCAGCCTGGGCTACATGTAGCAATCATTGTACACAAACTGATGAGAACATAAAAAACAGTCTGCGAAGAGAGGGCATGGAGAGCGGGATTCCCCGTGGCTACTCTCCATGACTTTATGCTAAGATGGTTAGAACTGGGAACACTTTGTAAAAAGTAAAATCCTGTCTTTTTTTTTTTTTTTGGTTTTTTGAGACAGGGTCTCTCTGTATTGTTTTGGAGGCTGTCCTGGAGCTCGCTCTGTAGACCAGGCTGGCCTAGAACTCACAGAGATCTGCCTGCCTCTGCCACCTGAGTGCTGGGATTAAAGGCTGCGCCACCAACGCCCGGCTCCAACTAGGTTTTTAAGTTAGCATTTTTCTAGAGCGTGCTTATTTCGTCTTGCTGTAAGCAGGGTCTGTCCACGGGCTGTGAGCACAGCTGGGTTTTCTCTGTGGGTGCTGAGCTGAGTTCCCGGCCTCTGCCTCTCACATACTGGGGGGGTCCTCCAGTGTGACCGCCATGCAGGTCTGCAGTGTCACTCACCCTGACAGCATGGTCACTCTTGGGTGAGATCCACTCTTAAGCAGTCAATCAATGAAGGCTTTCAGGTGCCCTTCTCAAACACCTCACCTTCACACTCTGCGCCGCTCACCTTCACACTCTGCGCCGCTCACCTTCACACTCTGCGCCCCTCACCTTCACACTCTGCGCCGCTCCGCATCTGTCCAAAGCACCCGTCTCCAGACAGTCTAATGTCCACCCTGCTTTAACACCACCGGACATCCCTCACCAGAAATATCCTACAATCCACACCCTGACTGAACACTGTCAATGCGATCGTGTTTGGGAAAAGGGTCTTGTAGACAAGTGACACAGAGGAACTTGAGGCAGCCTCGGTCCCCTGTGTGGGGGAGAAGGAGCTGTCAGTGGGAAGAGAAGTCCAGCAGAGAGGCCAGGAGCACCTGCAGGGAGGGGTAGGGGCAGGGATGGGCACCATATCTCCACAGAGGCTTAGGAAGGAATAGGGCATGGTCAGCTTGGGACAAGGATGCATCTCCATCACCAGGAGGTAGTCTGCTCAGCGTTGGTGCATACCAGGAAGCCATGGTCTCCTCACTAAGCAGTGGGGTGGGTGGATGGATGGATGGGTGGGTGGGTGGATGGATGGGTGGATGGGTGGATGGATGGGTAGAGTTTTGTGAAAGGAAAAGTCTTAGACTTAGGAAATTATGACTTCCACAGAGTCTTTACAGTACACACAGGGGGAACATGTTAGTTTTCAGGCATCTGCACTGGCCTGTCCTTGGGGTTCTGGGACACGCCCTCAGCTGCAGCTGCTAAGAGCACCACCTGTGCCCATTTACTATGTTCCCTTTTAAAAGAGCCCTGCCCACCTCCCATCCCTCTCTCTGTCACCCCTTCTCTCTTTCTCTCCCCCCTTTTCTCTCTCCTGCTGCTGCCATCCCTAGAGGCCAGTCTCCCCCTCTCCTTTCTCTCCCCCTCCCTTTCTTTTTCCAGACAGGGTTTCTCTGTGGCTTTGGAGGCTGTCCTGGAACTGGCTCTGTAGACCAGGCTGGTCTCAAACTCACAGAGATCCGATTGCCTCTGCCTCCTGAGTGCTGGGATTAAAGGCTGCACCACTATGATCCCTTTTTCTAATTAAAAACAGAAGCCATCTGCTTGAACCCGACGCAGGCCCTTCTCTTTGCACTACAACAGAGCTGACTCCTCCCCGTTGCCGCATCAAATCACGTGTGATGTTCACACCTGGAATCCCAGAGCTGGCGCGGTAGAACCAAATGTTCACTGGACTCTATGGCTATCCCTGACTCCTTCCCAGGCTGCCTCCAGTTTTAAGGAGCCCAGTGGACGGTCTTAGGGAAACGTGCACACTTGCCAACTTGCAGGTGTAGTAATGCGCGCTTGTGCTCACAGAGAGCCGTTCTGTGCCCGTCCCTGCCCCGCCCCTCCACCTGCTCTTCCGTGCTTCAGCGTCTCTGTCTGTCAGACGCTTCGGCGTCTCTGCAGAACTTTGCTGGAGCCACACCAATGCCAGCGCCACCCTCGAACACCCGGAACTGTGACCTATAAAGTTTTCAGCCTCAGGCTCCAGCCTCCCTGCCCGCCCCTTCCCCCCACGTTCCAGTCCCTTCCCCCCCTTTCTGAATCTCTTCCTCTGCTCTAATCACAAGGGGCTCCTGGATCTTTGCCCAGTGCCCCCTCCCCCACCCGGTCCCTTGAGCAGCGCGTGTCAGTGAGGTACATTTGTGACCGTGCTCACTTGCGCCGCAAAGAAACTGTCACTCCTATGGCGCACAGATCCCAGCATAGTAGGCCCCCAAAGATATTCATGCTTATGCCCCCCCTTTTCTCATCCTGAGCCCAGAGGCACAGGGACACCCAGCCCGAGTCCCCCACAGCTGAGAGCGTCTCCTCCACTCTGCAGATGACTCACCCCCGGCAGGGTCTTCTGCTCATGCAAGGCCGTCTGAGCTTTGATGGCGGAGTCCCTGGCGCAGTACGTGAGGAAGGCGCAACCTGATGGGAGACACAGCGCGTGAGGGACCAAAGGTGGGGCGGGGCAGGGCGGGGCGGCCCTGGTGCCCAGGGTAGCAGAAATCCCACCATTGTCCAGTCACACCACGGAGTGCTACTCAGACACAAACAGGATGGAGGCTTCAACAACCCACAGTGTAAATGGGGCCTTGAGGCCACGCACCGTGGACTCGTGAGGAGGAAACCCGCACAAGGCACAGATTTTGGGTGCTGCAGACAGGACAGGGGGCTGGAGTGTAAGGGGTCCAGAACTTCATGTTGGGGAGATGGTGGG